AAATTTTACCTTTGGTTTGTTTAATATTTATTCTGACAGTAATGCAGCCGAAAATAATTCCACCAATCACAATCACCTAAACATACAGCCTTACTTTACCAAGTATTGTCAGGTAACATTGCCAGTAAGAGACTCAGGGTGGGGTCGGTGGATCTTTGGCTGACTGTACAACCGCGATATTGATATTCACACGACCTCCTTTACACTTAGCATATTGTTTCATAGTGATAAGGGCATTTAGTTTTGCATTTACAAGAAGTTTCTACACTTTGTTTTGGTAAGGTTCAATTTTGAAAATAGTCTTTCAGCGTCTGCGTTAGAGTTTGTCAATGCCAAGACGTCCAACGCAAATCTCCTAATTACATCATATTTAAGGTCCCTGTCATCATCTTTCATTACTTATAAAATGTTAAAATATCCAAACTTTTTGTTTCGTCGTCAATTGTCTCCCAGCACAGCCTTGATCCTTTAACTCCTGAAGGGTTCCATTAAAGATCCTTGGCACCAATTCAACCAAGTCTGACAGTGATTAAGAATAGAGACTATCTTAAGAACGGGATCATTGGTGTTAAACCTATTTATTTTCTGGACACATTACCATCAAGAAGTTTTTGCATCTAATATTAAGGTTTGATTTTTTGCAAAATCCGGTCTATTTTTATATAGTTGGGCAATTTCTTCCTTTATTATTATTTGGTATTTAGCTCCTCCCCCCCGCCCCCCCCCCCCAAAAAAAAATGAAATTTCCGATTGACGGATAGTGACACGTCACTAATCCGATGGCGTCGTATCCGTTTTCTTTCATCTCACTAGAAGAAGCAATTCCCGACAAACGGCAGCCCTGGGCTCAGGTGTGAGAGTCAAGTGTTGAAGACGGCAGAAAACGGAGTGAGGGATGACTGATGCAATTCCTGTCGTAGTTTTTAGTTATTTTTATATTTTGTGTTACAGCTAAGAAGCTTAGTGTAGCCTATTTTTGCTTCAGCAAGTATAGATGTCATAGTGGTTCCTATTTCTCCTCCTATTTGGGACCTCAAAGCGCAGGGCAATAGCCCGCCCGGGCACAGGTGGTAGGTAGACCCACTACGGGGCCTGGGGGGCGAAAAATAAGAGGAAAGAGAAATTAAAAATAGAAAAGAAAAAGATTATATTAATCTACACCACAAAGATGCCGGAAAACCAGCTTTTGAGGTGAGACAGATTGTAAGAGTATGGAAACACAGAAGAAGGCAGAGCATTCCACAGTTTGGCTGTGTGGGGAAAGAAGGATGTACTATAATGGGCTATTCTAGTGTGACCGACATCGGATAAAAAAGCAACCTAACCACTGACCTACAATGGCAGGAATAATTTGACACTATTCTACTCTCATACAGAAACAGTAACCTCTCCATCCTAAACAAACCCAATACACCAATACCCACCTCCTCTATACTAAAACACGGAGCCGGACACACGGCCAGTATACGCGGCCTGGTGTGCCCCGGTAGTGGGATGAACCTTAATCTCTGTCAAGCACACTGTTCGGCAACCATCCGCACCGTTTTGGAGTTAGGTGGTGGTGGCACCAGGCTCAACTTTACTATAAGGTCTTTAAACACGTATTCTATATTGATAAGACAACCATGTGTCCAGTAGGGGATGGAGATGTAATGCTACACGATGGAACATATAAGAATGGTGAACCTTAATAATTACTGTATCTTCCTCTCTACTACACTGAGAGATAATGTTCTCTTGGGGGTTTATTCTCTCATTTATTTTCAACGGTAATGATAATCTGACTCCAGTCCATTGATCCTGGCCTGACGTGTTTTAAATTCTAAGTTTGTATATTGATCCTGGTTTGATTTTAATGTGGTTAGATGTTCATTGTTATGTTGTTATTTTAGCCTTTTAACCTGGTAATTACGAGGTCTTTATGATGAATAAAATCGTCTGACCAAATACATTAAACTCGGCGTCCCTGTAGTGAAGTGGTTAAGGAGTGTCGCACCTATTGTAGGTAATTTATTCTGGATAACCACACGATTTTATTCAGCTAAGAAAAACCCTTGCCACTACATGTGTTAATAATACTTCAGCAAATTTCCTTCAGATTTAAAGTGACATTTATCGAGTACCATACCTTAAGTGTTGGGTGTTTTCAGGATCTTTTAATGTTTTTGCTGGGAATAGACATGTAGATAAGTAAATAAACATACCTGTATAGTGATAGAATTACTAAGTAAAATTGTCTTACACGTTCACATTAATTCAACATTATATACCATTTATGTATACAATATACATAAGAGTTTAGGGATACAAACAATAGTGAGAAGATTTGACCAAGGACATCCCAACAGAACCTGTATACACTCCGTCCCAGTGAGGTCCTTAAGCTGGTAGAGAGGATGGGATGTCTACAAACAAAACACATACCGATAGTTGTAGTGTCAAGAGCTGCAGACGTGAGGGCGCTTGAGAGTAAAAGTGGGGTACTATTTTTGATACTAGTCCTCTAGCAGAAAGGACCAGGCAAAACGGGGAGCTTGATGGCTGAGGATGGGTTTTACGTTCACCTGGGTGTTTTGAGAGATAGCTGTGGGAGAGTTGAGACTTGCTGGGTTGAGGTTGTGAGTTGGATGGTGCACAGACTTGAAGGGTAGTTTTGGTTTTTCCTCTCGGTACATTACTGATTCTGATAACAGGAAAACTATGTAGGACAGCTGTAAGCACTAGTATCGCATGGAGGCCTAAAACAAAGCCTTTGCGCTGTGCACCAAGAAGCCAAGTGGGGGAGTCAGGAACTAACCAGCTGGCGCCACAAAGGTCTTAGAACATTAAATGTATTTATCAAATTAATCCATGCACTGTTGACGAAGTTAAACGTCAGTATAATATTAACGAGAGTTATCTTGGATAATTTCCCATTTCAAAATATGTTACGTGTGTGCTTAGGAACTAATTAAAATACGAAAAATTATTAACAATAACCGGAAAGCCGAGAAGAACGTTCGTGTCCGGAATTAAAAACGTAAATAAATAATAAAACAGTGCTAGTCTTACCCTAAAAGGAAATAAAGGACAATCGGAGTATATTTTAAGATTTTTAAAGTAAGTAGTTCCTTAGAGCGGCAGACATGCTTGGAAGCAGGCACTAGTCACTCTTGGTTCTCTCACCCACATCAGCGGACATGTCTCCCGCCGATAGAACGCCCCACGTGGCCACATTACTTGGAGGCGCTTACAACCGTGCTCACAAATAAGTCCAGTTCGATTGCATACAGTGTTTAGAGATGACGGGGAAGGAAAATCAATGTTTTATTGGGTAAATCAATTCAGTTTTTTGGGGGGATGGACCCACTCGGGATGGCGGTGGAGCTGGAAACAGGATGCGGTTGGCTGTAGGCTGAATTACTCCGGGGTCCCACGAGGAAGCACGCAGATATACGGGCGACCTGGTTTTCACCCGGATCTCCCAGGATAGACAGACGAGTGCCACACGCGTGTAGAAAAACCGCTGGTAATGGCACCAAGCGACAACAGCTCAGGAGTGTATACAATGTACGGGAACAATTTCATAAAATGAGGAAAGCTCGATCTTATTCCTAGTTGGGCGGGGTTACCCCTGTCGCTCTCCCTCTCATACAGAAAAGGGAGAGAAGCTCTCCCCTGGATGCAGCACGAGTAAATTGAAAGGTTGAGCTCTGAGAGAAATCCCCATGGTGCTACCGAGTACAGTCTGCCCACCGAGTATCGGTACCGATTCTTCTACTAGGTACCTTCAACTTTGGGTGTATGACGTTTGTCTAATCAAGTTCTCGTGTGAGGTCGACGATCCTGACTTTACACCAGTCGAGTCGAGACTAGTCTCGCCATTGCAGTTCACATCAAATTATTTGTATTTTTCTAGAAGCTGTTAACTCCGGGAGTCTTCCTTTACCAAGTATTGCCAGGTAAAATTGCGTGTACGAGACCCAGGGTGGAGTTGGTGCATCTTCGGCGGACTGTACCCGTCATCGGTACGGCCCAAAAGGCGAGGAGAACTGGAGTGGGGGATCCTGCGTCACCTGGTTCTAGAGCGCTGGTGAAAACAGCTCAGGAGTTGGCATGGCCTTCAGGTGTCCAGGTTGATAAGCGAAGTAGGTAGGGTCTGATTGGAGTCGGACCAACGCGCTGGGAGAGCAGGGTTAGCCTGGTTAAGCCCGGAGGGCGCCGCGGCTGTAGTGACAACCGGCAATTGAGCGGGTGGGGCTCAAGTCGGTGACTGGGTCAGTGACGACGGCAATCCGGGATCCGAAAAAGCTCAACAGGGACTGAACGGTCACATCGCCGGAGGAATGTTTGGTGGGGAGGGGGGGCGCGCGCGCACACGTGGCACTAGGCCTGGCTGCGACGAGGTAAGAGGCCTAGGAGCGACGGCATAACGTTAGAGGATCACGTTAGATGAAAAGTAGGCCATGCCGGGACAGGCGTGGCCCGAGAGGGGATGGTGAAGGGGTCAGCATAGCAGTGCTGCCAAGCAGATGTCAGAGGGGGCGATGATGGATGAAGAGGTCTTTGGAGGGGGGAATCCTGTCCCCCAAGAAGAGACTGACGTTCATTGTAGTACCGAGAGTTAATATTGTGCTGGTCACTACAGCTGCTGTACTCGTTTTAACTACCGGTCCCATACCGTCACGTTGTCAGTTTATAAACGAGTATCATCAACCCGAATCTCAGGAACACCAGTACAAGTTACGGTAATTACTGTATTAAATAGTTTGCCGTTTCGGTGGAGACCTTTCCAATGCTTTATTTTATTTGAATAAGCCGGTAGGAATTCCCTTCGGTTATATTAAGAGTAAATGACGACCATGAGTGCTCAAAACATGTATCTCGTTAATCATTGTAGGAGTAGATATAATGAAGACTTAACAATACGGCTTTAGTCAAGTTCGTACGGGTATGAGAGTGTGATGAAAGTAAACTAATCACCATCAAACTATTAAGGAAAATGTTAATGTCGAAAGTCATTTTAGGTATTAGATTTTATTAGATACCGTAGAAGCACATGAAGTTATGTTACCGAATGTATATAATTTATTTAAGTTTTTTCAGCGACCATATCCATGCAGAACATGTTCACGTTATCCTCTGTAGCCACCATATCCGCCATGGCCATGATAACCTCGCCCACCATAGCCATAATCATCACGTCCTCCATAGACGTAATCGCCACGTCCTCCATGACCATAATCGCCACGTCCTCCATGACCATAATTGTGTCCACCATAGATATCATCATAACGTTCGTAACCACCGTGTCCACGACCACCATATCCTGGATCGGGGATAGAGTCAGCCATAACAGCGGCCATTAGAAGTGAAACGGACAACACTGCGATCACCTGGAGAAAGAAAAAAAAAAGTTTACCAAATCAAAAAATTAGATACAAGTCGAACACAACTACAAAATCACCGAGAAACACAAAGTTCAACGAATAGACTTCCCGTAAAATAATAAGTTTTTATATGGCTTACCATCTTGTACATGTTGAGTGCAGGAAGGTCCGGTTGAGACTGACTTTCCAACTGCCTCCTGCCGCCTTTATAGTGTACCCTTTGATGACGTCACCACCACCATCAGTCACAACCGAACCAGTCATTCAGTCACTCAGTCAATTTAACATAAATGTCATGACCTTACACTGTCGTGTTACATTTCCTCCATTCTTGTTGCCTCTGGTGACTGTTGAGATAACTGAAGAATAAAAGGAAACTTTTATATTTGTTTACCTTATAATAATGTTTCTCTTATATGTTGATGTTATGATGTATTACCGAGCCTCAACAATTTGGTCTTTTCGTCCATATTCTTATTTAGTGAATAAATTAATCAAAGTAATAGATTAAGAGAGATACATTAGTCTTGTGTGTGTTAAGTCTTATCTGTAGTGAGGCAGTAATTATGGTCTTTCTGTGCACTTTAATACAGTTTATTGTACTTAACCTAATCCAACCAGACGTAGCGTAACCTAACTTACCTATCCCAACTTAACGTAGCGTAACCTAACCTAACCTAACTTAACCTGACAGCATAACCTAACCTAACCTTACCTGTCACGGGTGAATCTAGGATTATTCCCGGTTTCATAATTAATTTTCGTCAACTATTTCTGTTGGTTTTTATGTTCGCTATCTATCTCCTGTACTGTTTTAATACCAACTGTCATACGATGTGCTAATCCTCTTATGACTCAGCCATTGCCCCTTGTCCCTTTATTTCATTGTCCTGATTATGTAGTTTTTTGTGTCAGGTGCAGGAAGAAATTGTAACTTATACTTCTCTGTCTGGTAAATGGGTCGCACAGAGATGGTTCGTCAACTCGTTTCATCAACACGGTGCCGGGTTCAGCTGAGAGTTCGTACACCTTGCATTATACCCCTTTTAATATGTTACCCTCCAGCCTTGCCTTACATCTATAGTACATTGTATTTAGATAATCTGATCATACAATTTTGGTACCTTGTTTTATATTTTATGTCAATATTAGTTTAGCTAGGGTTGTTTATTTGACTCTTGTGGTAGCGCGTGTGCCCTGAGCCAGTACCGGGGAGACAGGTAATACATTTGCTCTCCACTCGTCTGGGTCAAATTCAATTTCAAAACATTTATTGACAAATACATCAAAAGGAGCTGGTTAGCATGCTAACTAGCCCACCCAAAACTAGTCTTAACAAGAGCTCTTTAAAATTGTACTAATCATAAATGAGATATGTTTACAACAAATAGATCTGCATAAAATCTATAATCTTATGTTAAACTTAGCATCTTCTACAGTCTAAGATATTTTTCAGAACCATTTCATTTTTATTTTCAGAACCTCTACTGCCAAGATTGTTATGCCTAGCATTCAAATCACCAATTAGTAAACAATCATCAGCAAAACTAATGTCCGGCAGATCATCAACTGTCAAGGAATCAGCGTGCACATAAACATTTATAATGAACAGTGTAGCATCTTGAAGCGTAATACTAACACAAATACTCGGTACCATTTATTTTTAGAGCGGAATGAATATCTTTGATATAAGTCGTGAAACCTCAATAATTTCCAGTCAAATCAGCTGGCAATTCAAAACTTTGATAACCTCTTAGTTGCAAAGATATTCCGTTTGTCCCAACCTCTTGCAAAGCCGCAACATTAATACTACTAGAATGAACATATGCATGAAGATCCGTTAAACTTTATTTTTTTTCAAACTATTAACATTCATGGAAATTAAGCTGACATTATGACCCATTAGAATAAATTTTTCCCTCTTATTCTTCACCGAAATAAGAACATTCTTTTTGACGTCGTCCCTTAGATTTTCCATATATTCCAAAACAGTCAAGAATGCTCGTCAGATCACCGAGCGTTTTCTTGTTTACTTCATTCTCTCTAGAAACCGAACCAACTCTATTTCCTAACAGACCATGATTACCATTTTGCTCTAGATTGCTATCCACAATAACATTATTTGATTCCGTCTCTACTAATGTTTCATTTTCTCTTGAACAATCTTTATTAACAAGAGCAACATCACTATATGGCACAAGGTTCACCAAGCATTTCTTGATATCCAATACTTTTTGTCTGAGCTCATCAATCTCCTTACGGAGTTCTACTAGACTGTTAGGGGCTGTAAGGTTATTGCCCCCGTTGCCTATGTCCTTCTGTGCTGCTGCATTACGTATTTCCATATGCTTTTCCCACACATTTACAGCACTTGGTGTGCCTGCAATATCGCTCCTTACAGTATTACCTTTATCCTCTCGATTAGTGGACTGAGATCGTGATTGCAATGGACTCCAGTCTTTTTCATCATTACATTCTCAAAACCTTCTGCAGTTAAATACCTAACTGCTTCCTCATCCTTCACATTAATGTAAGGAATATGTTTACCCTCTTTAAAGAGCACTTGATACCCTTGTTGGCGCTTAGTGAGTCTAACTGACCACTTTACTGCCATCTAAACCATCAATGGCGTCTACACTTGTTGTACTGATCATGGTTGAAGTGACTCACACTGGGTCTCGTGCTCACAATTTTGTCTGGCAATGCTTTAAGTACGGCTGCGTGTAAAGGTGATTAGTGGATCTTAGTTTCGGCTTTATCACTATCAGGATAAATATTAAACAAACCAAAGATACTTTTTTTTAATAAATTCATTGTTATTTAAGGTCCTGAGAAATTTCCAAATGTTTGTACATTTGTTTAATAAATAAAATTTGACGAGAATCTTGTGGCAGCTGTGGTTTTAGTAGAGTTGCCAATTCATTAATAAAATTTACTTTATTATTTAAGCAAATCTACGAAAATTTGGAAACTTTTCAACCTTAAATAACAATGAATAGTGTATTAATATAAAAATTCTACCTTTGGTTTGCTTAATACTTAACCTGAGTGATACAGCCGAAAACAGCCACCAATCACCTTTACATGCAGCCTTACTTCAAGTATTGCCAGACAAAATTGTGTGCAGGAGGGGTGGGGTCGGTACATCTTTGGCTGACGGTACGTTGACTACGTATCTCCGCCAGGAAGGACGTCCCCCATCAACCTCCTCGTCGCTGCAACACTCATCACACGCACTAAAAGTTTGTCCCTTTATACTGCAAAAGCCTACCAACACCCTTTCCTCCTGACCAATCTCTCCAGACATTTGACTTATTTGGGACCTGTCACACCTTGCCATTAGCAAATGTATTGTATCGGAAATTCCAACCCTACACTATCATGTCATTATATAACTTGCCGATGAAATTCATGGTCCTTCAGGTACTTAATCCATTTTATGCACGTCGACTACGCAAACAAACTCTAGGCGCTTTAAATCACTTTTGCACTACGCCTTGCACAGGATGCTCAATAACCTAACCCCATTTTATGACAAATTTAAGAATAAAAATTCTTGATAGGGACTTCAAGCCAAGTGTCTCGCCAGAAAAATAATTCGCAGATGTATTTCCAGCCACACGATTCTATTCTCCCAGCCTTACGGATCATGGGTCACGTACGGCAAACACGTGGTAAGAGGTAATCTCCATCCATTACCTTAAGGCCACCGACTAGCCCGCTTTTAATGCAAGCTGTGTCAAGGATCAATCCAATACATTGCATGTTCTGCAATTGATATTTTTCGGTGCTGCCGATTAATAATGGTCATGTTACAAGAGAGTCTACACCTAGAAACACTGGTTAATCACGGTAAATTAGGTTGATTTGCCTGTGCCGATTCAGTATTTCGAGGGCTTTTTATTCACTGCATCACAATCATTTAAATAAACCAGGACAAATTCAGATCAGTTACATTAGTGTGTGCGAATAGGCGACGGCCAGGAGTGTTCAAACCACGCATCTTAACTCTAGACGTAACAGTACGTCTCAGGTTACATCCGTACGGTTATGAGCGCGTGTGAAAAATTAAACCGTTCTGTTTTTAAACTATTGAGTTAAAGAATAAAGTAAGAAAAAAAAAAAGTGGGTTTTATTAAACACAATAGAAGCACAAGAATTTTTATTTTTTAAGGTTTATAAATTCCTTGGCGTTTTCCTTACGACCATATCAATAACGTCCATAGTCACCGTATCCTCTGTAACCTTCACCATAACCCCCATGAGCATAACCTTGTCCTCCATGGTACGAATCACCATGGCCTCCGTAGTCATAATCACCACGACCGCCACGTCCACCTTGGCCATAGGAGTAATGACCTCGACCGCCATATCCACCACGACCATAGTCATCGTGTCCTTGGCCATAGTCTTCGTACTGTCCATAGCCACCATACCCAGGATCGGCCATAGCAACCACCACAAGAAGTAAAACAGACAACCAAACGATCACCTGGAAACGAAAAAAATTTAAGTCAATAATTTAGATGTAAGTTTTCTACAAAACCATCAACATCCACAAAGTTCAATAAACTTACATCACGTACAGTAATGAGCTTTTATTTGACTTACCATCTTGTGCATGTTGAGTGCAGAAAGGTCCAGTTGAGACTGACTCTCCGGCGGCCTCCTGCCGCCTTTATAGTGTACCCTTTGATGACGTCACCACCACCATCAGTTACAACTGAACCAGTCATTCAGTCACTTAGTCAACTTAACATAAATGTCATGACCTTACACTGTCGTGTTACATTTCCTCCATTCATGTTGCCTCTGGTGACTGTTGAGATAACTGAAGAATAAAAGGAAACTTTTATATTTGTTTACCTTATAATAATGTTTCTCTTATATGTTGATGTTATGATGTATTACCGAGCCTCAACAATTTGGTCTTTTCGTCCATATTCTTATTTAGTGAATAAATTAATCACGAGTAATAGATTAAGAGAGATACATTAGTCTTGTGTGTGTTTAGTCTTATCTGTAGTGAGGCAGTAATTATGGTCTTTCTGTGCACTTTAATACAGTTTATTGTACTTAACCTAATCCAACCAGACGTAGCGTAACCTAACTTACCTATCCCAACTTAACGTAGCGTAACCTAACCTAACTTAACCTGACAGCATCA